AAGTCATGATTGACTATGGATGAGCAGTCCCTAGATTCAAGTTATGAAATAACCCACTCAACGAGGATAGACACACGCGGGACAAGAGTGAAAGAAGAAAATTCGAAGTCTAAATTTCATGACCAGACTCACATTTCGGATTCTAAAAAAAAAGAAGTAGCTTAAGAATAGGAGACTAGAACCACAAAAAAAAATGAAATTAGTTTTCGACTAACTGCCAACACTCTCAAAATATACATGGCCTGATTAACAGTAAGCAAATGACAGCCAAATACATCCACACCATCATCTAGAATTAAGCTTATTTCAATGAAAGAGATGGGAGCTCAAACAAGAAACTCATACACTAAAGAACCAAGATTACGATAAATAGGATCGAGGAAAAATTAAAAGAATGCATCTTGAGTCATCAAATGTCAACGTCATGCCGGGAATATAACAAACCCAAGTATTCAAACCACATTAAAAGGGTACGACAAGCTATAAATCCACACATGGAATTTCAAAGAAAATAATCATCGGACAGTAATAAACAACACACGATTTGCTAAGACGGAATAAGAGGTAAGAATGAGAATGTTACCTATTCGGGGGCAGCGACTAGAACAGGGCGAGTTGGAACGACAACCTTCACCACGCGAAATCCAAACACGAACAATAGCTAAGAAGTTTGGGCAAGAATGTCAAACCCAAAACACAAAAAAAAGGATCCCTCCTCTGTTTTCCTTGAAATATATTTAGTAGGTATTAATTATTTTTTGATGCCCTTGGTAAAAATTTCCCAACTCCAAAAATCTCTCCACTTTTCTCAAAAAGTCCCCCCTTCTCTTAACAAAATAGTAGTGGGCTATATAGATGGATACTAGGGTTCCGACCTTGGAGGAAAATGGATAAAAAATTCAAATTCAAAGGGCCCATTCAAAATTCAAAACTCCAAATATAATTTCACCATTAAAGGGAGACAAACTTTTCTGAGATTTCTCCCCATTTCGGAAGAGGAAAAGGGATATGGGCGGCTGGGATCGACTCCATTGTCCTTGCTGCTCGACGTGGCGTGATCCCGCAGCTACAAGGACGGTTTTGCAGAAGCTTAGGACTGGAACAGCATTGCTGTTCATCTGCTGTGGGTTGTTGTTTGGACTGCTATGAACGTTGGAAAGGTTCTGGGGTTTCTTTTGAGGAAGATTGGGCCGGGTCGGGGGAGAAATGGATCGAGGTGGTGGGGTGCTGGATTGGAAAGGTGTTGGGCTGATTGAGAAATAAGAACAGTGGGCTGGAAAATGGAATCGGGTTGCAGGAAGTTGGAATTCAACCCAAAATTTGGTCTTTTAAGATGGGTCAAGGGTAAAGACAAATTAAATTTGTGAGAATTAGATTAGGCTTTGACCATATGATTTAAATTATAGCCTATCGGAGATTAAAGATGTAGTCAAATCGAATCAATTGGGATAAATTTGGCGAGTAATTTTTAAATAAGACGAATCACTATAATTAGCTAACGAACTTCTCAATCTTAACGAAATAAAATAATTAACTTACTTATAACATAATTGATTTAAATACAAACTAATTTAGAATGCTTAATTTAATAAATGTAGAACTCTTTCGCTATGATTTTCAAAATATTTGTAAGATATACTAAATACATATATAATTACATGAAGTATAGTTATTATTCAAAATACTGTAAAGATCGATTGAAAGTACTTAAAATGACCTTGAAACTAATTTGAATTATATAAAGCTAATTATTCCGAATCGTTTGAAAAATTAAGAAGCTCAGAAATTAATTATTATCGGGGATGGTCAAAATTGGGTGTCAACAACTGTCCCACGTTTGACTTGGATTGATGCAAGAAATTCGAGGAAAATGAAATTGACTAATCCAATTTTGGCCAACCACATCTTCATCTTTGGGGAAAAAAGGATTTGGTATGGACTATAGAAATTATGGCCGAACCTCGAAAATGAGTTTCCTACATATCTCAGGCTATATGAGAACTCAGGCCACTTGTAGTTCGGTACGCTAGATCTCACGCATGATTTTGAAAGAATTCAAAAGCCATCCTGATACCGAATTATGGAGGAATCAGAGTGCTCAGAAATAGGATTTAAGGGCGAATGTTGGAATACAGCCTAGTTTTCAACATTGAGCCCGCTTACATATCCCTCGACCTAGGGAATCAAGCTGCTTGTAGTTCGACTCAATCAGTTGAAAAGGAAATCTCTTATGCAAGATAACCTTTGGTTCAGGAGGAGTGACAAAGTAAGTCGAGTATGAAAAATGAGGCTTACAACCTCTTAGTCATGAATATGGCGCGCTTCACACCCATAATTAAGAACTTACAAGAACATAATTTCCAAAACTCTTGGTGCATTGTCACTCAGATTGGAAAGCTACTTCCGGTAGAGACCAAAAATTTCGGATGCGAAACTGAAACCAGGAAACCTAAAGAAAAACCCACATGCCTTCTGATAAGGGTGTGGTTTGATTGTGGTGGAAGTCGCTCCTTTGCTCGCGTCCTAAGAGTTTGGCACTCCTCTTTGGACTATGTCCCAGTTCACTGCTAAGAAAAAGTTTCATGTTGTGCTGCATCCTTTTGATGTCGTCCTCACCTGTGGTTTGTTTTGGAGAATTCATTCTTTCGGATGCTCTCGACAAAGACTAAGATAAAACTTATTAGCATAAAAATGCAATTCAAATGGGAGATAGTGTCTTTTACCGTGTTGACACTTAATTGTTCTCCTTGAACATTTGATGTCAATTCTATCGGGTTTGACGTGAAGCAAATAAGGCTTGTGTCTCATATTTGCAATATGATCTTCAATGTACTCTTCCTTTGATGTCAAAGAAGTAAAATAGATTAATGTAATATGTTGATAGTTCTCTTGATGTCGTCTTTGCAAAGAAAATGATGCAATTGATGTTGATCCTTCTCTTGCGATGTATAACTCCTTCTCTTGCTATGCATGAATCATTCTCTTGCGAGGTATGAATTTCTTTCCCGCGATGCATGAATCTTTTTCCCGCAATGCATGAATCTTCTCTTGCAATGTATGAATCTTTTCTTGCAGTGCATGGATCTCTTTTTCTCGCGATGCATGAATCTTTTTTCCCCGCGATGCATGAATCTTCTCTTGCAAGCCATGAATCTTTTTCTGCGATGCATGAATCTTTTTCCCGCGATGCATGGATCTTCTCTTGAAATGCGTGAATTTTTTCTCGCGATGCATGAATCTTCTCTTGCAATGCATGAATCTTTTTCCCGCGATGCATGGATCTTCTCTTGCAATGCGTGAATCTTTTCTCGCGATGCATGGATCTTCTCTACGATGCATGAATCTTTTCTCTTGTTATGCATGACTTCTCCGCGATGCATGACGTTTTTCCCACAATACATGAATCTTTTGATGATGCCTCCCTGATACCAAATGAAGATAATTCTTCACCGAGCAACATAGGTGATCTTCTAGGTATCTTTTGGATGACGATATCGTCTCAATCGACAATATAAATAAAATGACCCTCGGAGTAGTGGTATCATCTTATTTGACAATACGATATAAATGACTCTCCGAGTAGTGATATCGTCTTATTCGACAATACAATATAAATAACCTTCAGGGTAAGAATATTATCATATATGATAATATAATGCAGATAAACGTCTTTCAGGTGTCTTTAGTTGTTGGAAAATAATAATATTGCTTTCTTCGTGGTTTTCGTTTGTTCCATCTCCGAACATAGTCACAATGTTCATTATGATCTTCGCTTTGTTGGGAATTGAATGAAATAATGTTATTCATGTTCCAAAATCTTTATATAAGAAGCGTAAAAATATTTCCTGACAATACCACAGAAAAAATTGTCAATTTTGTGGAGCTCTTCGCCCTTTTGACTTCTCCATATTCATTAAATGGTGGAATATGTTGATTTTGAGGCGAACCTATAATGCACCCATAGAAAAAATTGTTAGTTTTAAAAATGAACTGATCTGTGTCGATCTCTTCGGTTGTCTGCTTCTTGTCTTGCTATCTCCAGTTGATTTCTCTGATCTCCTGTTTCTTGATAGATAAGACAAAACATTTTCATGCAAAAATAATTGAAACATGAAGGAAAAGTTTTTAAGGAAAACATATTTTCAAAAGTAATGTTCGAAAAAGGTCACTGCCAAGTGTTATGTCATGCCAAGCTTTAGCAAACGTCTTTGAGATTGATGACTCGAGGTCTATGTGATCATTTGCTGGGAGGTATTCAAAGTTGCTCTAAATTGCCGATGAACCTTATTGAATTTTTAAGGTCATCCTCAAAAATTTCTGTCCCAGTTAACTGACTTGGCTTATCTTTACTATTGATGAACAAACCATGGAATTTTTGAGATTCTCTCAAAAATTATGTCCCAGTTGCAAATTTCAAAGTAACTTCAGTCTCAACTTTGTTGGAGAGATCTTCTTCTAGAGAATTTCTGAGTCCCTCTCAAAAATTGTATCCCAATTTCTATCGTAAAGAAAAATATAAATCTTACGGGAGACATGACCGAACCCTTGTAGCGCCTACGTATCCCATCGAGGCAAGAATCAGTTCAAACGTAGTTCAAATACAGAAGGAAATATTTAAAGAGGGATAAAGGGGTGACCGAGGCCGTCATAGGCCGCCTACGTATCTCATTCTTGAGAATTCAGGTCAGACGTAATTCAAATACAAAAAAAATACTAAAAAGGGATAAAGGGGTGACCGAGGCCGACATAGGCCGCCTACGTATCTCATTCTTGAGAATTCAGGTCAGACGTAGTTCATTACAAAGGGATAGATTCTAAACAAAGCAATTACAAGCAAATAGAACGATTACAAGGAAATAACATAAATACAAACTGAAGTTTTACACATAGTATCTCTTGACAGCATCTGAGTTGATCGATTTCGGCCATTCGGTGCCATCCATCTCCGACAGGACTAAAGCTCCTCCGGATAACACTTTGCGAACCATGTAGGGTCCTTGTCAATTTGGTGCAAATTTCCCTTTGTACTCAGCTTGATGAGGAAAAATGCGTTTGAGAACCAACTGACCCACTTCAAATATTCTGGCTCTTACTCTTTTGTGGAAAGCACGAATCTTTCTCTGTCGATAAAGTTGACCATGACAAACAACAACCATTCTCTTCTCATCAATCAATGTTAACTGATCAATCCGCTTGCGAATCCAATCCGCATCACTCAATTCAACTTCTTGGATGATTCTTAATGAAGGTATCTCAACTTCCGTAGGTATGACTGCTTCTGTTCCATATACTAATAAGTATGGAGTAGCTCCAATCGACGTCTTGACAGTCGTTCTGTAACCCAACAAAGCATATGGAAACATGTCGTGCCAACCTCTATGATTGTCAATCATTTTCCTCAGAATCTTCTTTATGTTCTTGTTGGCGGCTTCTACAGCTCCGTTCATTTGGGGACGATATGCGGTCGAATTTCGGTGAGTAATCTTGAATTGTTCATATATCTCTCTCATCAAGTGACTATTGAGATTCGTTCCATTATCAGTAATGATAAACTCTGGTACACCGAACCTACATATCAAATTGTTGCAAACAAAATCAGCTACAACTTTCTTGGTCACCGACTTGTACGAATCTGCTTCCACCCACTTGATGAAGTAGTCAATGGCAACCAAAATGAATCTGTGTCCGTTAGAGGCGGCTGGCTCTATTGGACCAATGACATCTATACCCCAAGCTACAAACGACCAAGGTAAACTCATATCATTGAGTTCATGAGGCGGGACTTGAATCAAATCTCCATGCACTTGACATTTATGACATTTCTGCACAAACTTGCAGCAATCATGTTCCATAGTCATCCAGAAATAACCGGCTCGGAGGATCTTCCTCGCTAAAGTCAGCCCATTCATATGAGTACCACAAACTCCAACATGTATCTGTTCAAGAAGCTTTGCAGCTTCACTAGCATTAACACATTTGAGAAGACCTAAATTTGGAGTCCTCCTATAAAAGATTTCCCCACTTGCAAAGAAATTGAGAGTCATACGGCGTATCGACTTCTTCTGATTGAACGTTGCATTCTCAGGATAAGTTTCGGTCTCTAAATACCTTTTGATGTCAAAATACCCAGGCAAACCATCTGGTTCTGCTTCAACATGTGAACAATGAACATGCTGCTCTTTTACCTCTATATCAAAAGGATCAATATAACTTGTATCTGAATGTTTAATCATTGAGGCAATGGTGGCGAGAGCATCGGCCAACTCATTTTGTGTCCTGGGAGTGTGCCTGAATTCAATCTTGCGAAGTCTCTTGCACAACTTCCGTATATACTGCACATACGACGTGATCTTTGGGTTCTTTACGGCCCATTCTCCTTGATCTGAATCTCCGATAACCAACAGCTCGTGAACGTTCATATCAATTGTCATCTTCAGACCGAGGATGCAAGTTTTGTATTTTGCCATGTTGTTCGTGAAATCAAATAGGAGTTTAGCCGCCATAGGATAGTGTTGACCAGATTCTGACACTAAGACTGCTCCGATACCTTTCCCTTGATGATTCGCCGCTCCATCAAAGAATACTCTCCATCCGGGGTACACTTTATAAATATCTTCACCCACAAATGAAACTTCCTCGTCAGGAAAATAAGTCTTGAGTGGTTCATACTCCTCATCAACTGGATTCTCTGCAAGATGATCGGCTAAGGCTTGTGCCTTTATCGCCTTCTGAGTCACGTACACGATGTCAAATTCACTCAAAAGCATTTGCCATTTAGCCAACTTCTCGATCGGCATTGCTTTCTGAAAAATATACTTCAAAGGGTCCATCCTGGAAATAAGGTATGTGGTATAAGAAGACAAATAATGTCTCAACTTTTGAGCGATCCAAGTCAAAGCACAACATGTTCTCTCCAAAAGAGTGTAACGACCCTCATATGGACTGAACCTTTTGCTCAAGTAATAAATGGCTTGCTCTTTCTTCCCAGTTTCGTCATGTTGACCAAGCACGCATCCTAATGTGTTATCTGAGACAGACAAATATAGCAATAATGGAATCCCTTCTCGCGAAGGGACCAACACCGGCGGATTGGACAAATAGTTCTTGATGGTATCAAAAGCAGTTTGACATTCTTCGGTCCACTTGGTCGAGGCATCTTTTTTTAATCACTTAAAAATGAGCTCACACACCATGGTGGATTGAGCTATGAACCGGTTGATGTAGTTCAACCTTCCTAAAAAACTCATCACCTCTTTCTTGCTCTTCGGAGGAGGTAATTCCTGGATCGCCCCTCCTGCTAACTATAAATCCCAACAACTTGCCAGCTGGCACTCCAAAAGCACACTTGGAGGGATTTAACTTCAAATTGTCTCGGTGCAAGCGATCAAAGAACTTCCTCAAATGAGTCCAATGATCCGAACTCTCGCGGGACTTGATTATGACATCATCTACATACACCTCGATCTCCTTGTGAATCATATCGTGAAATATGGTTGTCATGGCCCTCATATAAGTAACACCGACATTCTTGAGACCAAAAGGCATCACCCGATAATGATATACACCCCATGGAGTGATGAAAGCTGTCTTTTCTACATCTTCTTCGTCCATCAGGATCTGGTGGTAACCAGCATAACAATCCACAAATGACTACAACTCATGCTTAGCACAGTTATCAATGAGGATGTGAATGTTTGGCAATGGAAAATTATCTTTCGGGCTAGCTTTGTTGAGATCTCTATAGTCAACACAAATTCTGATTTTTCCGTCTTTCTTGGCAACCGGAACAAGATTAGCTAACCAAGTCGGATACCGCGTCACTTCCACTACTTGGGACTCGATCTGCTTTGTAATCTCTTCTTTGATCTTCAAAATCAACTCAGACATGAATTTTCGAGTCTTTTGTTTTACTGGATTAAAATCTGGATTGATCGGCAACTTGTGGGACACCATATTCGTGCTCAGCCCTGGCATGTCTTTATAAGACCAGACAAATACATCAATATACTCCCTGAGCAAATGAATCAGGTCTCTTTTTTGGGCTTCAGTCAGATGGACACTGATTCTGACTTCTTTAACACATTCCTCATCTCCGAGATTCACAGTTTCAGTTTCTTCAAGATTTGGCTTGTGTTGATTCTCGAATTGTTGAAACTCCTCAGTAACATGTTCGGGTACCTTATTTTCTTCTTCATATTCCTCGTACTCATCATTACATGCCTTTTTTTTTCACTCGGTTCATGACATTGGCAGGTTTTAAATTATTATTACTGAAATCATAAACAGACAAAGTTAGAAAAGTAAAATATAATCAGATAAATAAACAATTTTTCAATAAAAGAGGCTTTTCATTTAAATTGAAAGACAAGCATAAACTTTGGCCATGGCCGAGGGTTATTTTGCCTTTTTAAATATCACAAAGGGAATTTAAAAGCTTCAAACAAATAACAATTGCATAAATGGTGGGTCTCGGGCCTCTTCTGAACTACCACCGATTTTAAAATAAACAAAGACACATATCTTTTCTACCCAGATGAGCGGGAAATCAGGAGTGGTGTGGAGGTCCAGTTCTACAATCGCTCATCAGGCTCTGCATCACGGATGCCTGATGTCCCAGCCTCTTCCTCGATGACCGTATTAATCTCCCCAAAAAGGCCCCAGATTCCTTCCTCGAGACCAACATCGTTGACATTTTCTCGTACCGGAAATGACTGGTACAGATGAGGAATTGGCCCAGCCAATGCTTGATAAATACTCTTGTTCTTCATCTCTGCTTCGTCAGCATCTGTGGGGACATACCCCAAACCAAACTTTGCTTATTTGGCGGGCATTTAGATAGGCTCGATGATTTCTTGAAAGTGCTTCCCCAATCCGAAACCTGGTTCGAAACCATTCTGGAGCATGACGGTAGCAATTATCTTGTACACGGTAGGCATAGGAGGCTGTGGAGCCAAGTCATCACCGGTGGCATTTACCAGCTCCACCATAAATGACCAATTCCTGGTCATTCCAAACAAACTTCATTAGTTGGTGAAGGGTAGACGGCACAGCCCCAACCATATGAATGAATGGTCTGCCCAGAAGTAGGTTGTAACTGGTGTTGATATCCAACACCTGGAACTCGACGTTGAATTCTGCAGGACCCACTTAAATATCCAAGTTGCTCCCCCTGCTCAACAATCTCATTAGCTTGCTCTTCATGTTCAGCAACTTCATGGATTGTACTTTCTGCACTTATGGGAGGGTTAGAATTAAAATGAATGGTAACAAGATTAGGGATTGTACCATTCTTTTTCTTGGCCTTCAGATAGATCATCAATAGTTCCAACTTCACTTTCTCGGAAAATTACATCTCTTCTTCTGATGACCTTCTTCTTTACATGATCCCACAGTCTGTACCTGAACTCTTCATCTCCATATCCGATGAATATGCAGGGAACTGATTTATCATCTAGCTTGGTTCTCTGCTCCTTCGGTACATGTGCAAAAGCTTTGCAACCGAACACTTTTAGGTGCGAGTAAGACATCTCCTTGTTGGTCTAAACTCTCTCCGAAATTTCAAATTCCAACGAAAGTGATGGACTACAATTGATAAGATAACATGTTGTCCGAACTGCTTTACCCCATAATGACTTAGGTAATTTAGCCATTCTGAGCATGCTTCTCACCTTCTCAACAATGGTGCAATTCATTCTCTCAGCTACACCATTGTGTTGTGGGGTTCTAGGAACTGTCTTTTCATGTCTGATTCCATGGTTTGAACAATACTCTTCAAATTCTCTTGAAGTGTACTCACCTCCATTGTCAGTTCGGAGACGTTTTAGCTTCCGACCCGTCTCTCTTTCTACCAGAGCAAGAATTTTGAAACACCTGATAATTGGTTTTCAAGATATAAACCCACAATTTTCGTGAAGCATCATCAATAAAGGTAACAAAGTATTTATTACCTCTCATCGATTATATCTCCATTGGACCACAGACATCAGAATATACCAAATCAAGTATATTCAACTTTCTTTCAAATGATGTCTGAAATGAGACTTTATGTTGCTTACCAAATAAACAGTAGTTACAAGGTTTTATCGTTGTACCTTTGGCAAAAGAGATGAGTGATTTTTTGGAAAGAATTTGCAATCCTTTCTCGCTCATTTGATCCATTCTTCTATTCCACAAATCTGCAAAAATCTCTTTGTGAGCCGCATTTAATTCACTTTGGCATATTTCTGCATTTGTCATGTACAACGTGCCACAAGCAACTCCTTTTGCAATCACCGATGCCCCTTTGGTGAGTCTCCATTTTTTATTTGTAAAGTAGTTCTCATATCCATCTTGATCCAAAGCAACTCCCGAGATCAAGTTCATCCGTAAATTAGGTATGTGGTGTACAACTTTCAAAACTAATATGCATCTGACATTTGTCTTTATGCAAACGTCTCTGATCCCCACAATCTTTGAGCAACTTGTGTTACCCATTTTCACATTGTCAAAATCACCTGCTACATATCTGCAAAAAAGATCTCTTACCGATGTGGCATGGTAAGATGTTGTTGTGTCGATCACCCATTCCGACTCTACACCTGCCAAGTGCATGCATTCCTCTTTCTCGTTTATGAGGAGAACAACATTGTCATTATTTTACACCATGGCAACTGTGTTGTCATCATTCTTCTAGCCGCTGCTTTCTCCTTTGCCTCTTTTTAGATTCGAACAATCTCTTTTGAAGTGACCTGGTTGTTCGCAATTGTAGCAATTTCTGGCCTTTGATTTTGATCGGACCTTAGACTTTCCACGAGCTCCGGATCTACCATAGTTGCCTAAACTCCTTTGGTAACTTCTGCCTCTACTTTCTGTGATGAGAGCCTGTCCGTGATTTTCAGGCTTTTTTCTCATCTTCTCATTAAGCAAAAGGGCTGATGTGACATCCTTCAACTCAATAGAGTCCTTACCATATAAGATGGTTGTTGCCAAATTATCGTAGAAAGATGGCAATGAGTTTAGGAGTACTATGATTTTATCTTCCTCCTCGATCTTTACTCCGAGGTTTGCTAGCTGCGTGATTAGTCCATTAAGCACATTTAAATGAGACAAAAAATGTGTACCTTCACCCATATGTAGGCCGTATAACTGCTTCTTTAGGTACAATTTATTTGTTAGCATTTTGGACATGTATAAATTTTCTGTCTTTGTCCAAATGCCACATGCACTCTCTTCATTGATGATGTTATTAACCACATCATCTGTTAAGTGTAACTTGATTGCACTAGCAACCTTTTCATCCATTTCTTCCCAATACCCAAGTTTCATGGATTCGGGCTTTTTGGATTTGCCATCTAGTGCCTTGTGCAAACCCTGTTGGATAAGCAAGTCTCTCATCCTTTTCTGTCACATTGAGAAACCTCTATCACCGTTGAATTTTGCTACCTCGTACTTTACTCCAGACATTTTTTTTCACTGAGTATAGTACGAAAAGCTGTAAAAATATTTCTGTAAATGAGGAGAACGTGGCTCTGATACCAATTGTTGGGAATAAATCCGCAACATAAATAATATTTGCGGTAATAAAAGCAATAAAAGTGGAACACAACAATGCAGTTAATCAACAAGAATAAAAAGAGCAATAATGACACCAAGATTTTACGTGAAAACCCTCCTGAATAAAGGAAAAACCATTGCCTGAGAGGAGCAACTGATATCGCTATAGTAAGGAATTTTACACTTGTAGGTCTGAGTAAAAACTCCAAAGACCACTACACAGTTCAAAAGAAATAATCCTCTTTTGATTTTTCCACCTCACTACAATATCGCTCACACTTTCTATTTTTTCCACACAGACTAATTTCCTATGTGATGCCTCATTCTTCTTCTCTCCTTTGTTTTTGGTGCATTTGAGAATGAAGAAGACTCTCCCTTTTATAGATAACAAGTGTAGTATTTTTCCAACTATGCTACAGAAGAAAAACAATTTTTTCTTCTTTGCAGCTTACCAACCTTTGAAAAAATCTGCACATGTATATCCAATATCTTCCAAATCTGCCAACCTTTTGAAATTGTGAGATTTGGCAACTGGGGATGGACCCCACAGTTTTCACTAAACAAGCAATTCCAATGTATAGGACTTAACAAATCCTTAATATTAAAAAATGAGAAAAAAAGATAAATGTATCCCTTAACATTGCGATTTAGAATTGATATATCTATCGTTAAAAATATAGTACATATACATGTTAATAATTTCTATTTTGTGGACTCACATATCTATCTATCTATATATATATATGTTAGACTGGATGATGTGGCATGTCTTTAAGGGCTAGAAACCTATTTATCTTTTTTTGTGATTTTTTTGGCCATTTTCTATCATTTTAAAAGACATGAAATATTATAAAACATTACTTTAAGTTTTTACAAAATATTAAAGCATAATATTAAATTCTCTCCTTATTAAAGAAGTATGTATTAATGTTCAAGAAAATTTCTGCCAGAAAAATTAATCTCTTATGCTTCCCCATAATCAACATTTATTATATTTGTTAATGTTATTATTAGTATTCATTAGTGTTTCACTTATTTTTTATCCAGAAAATTAATTTCAATAATCTCCTTTTCCTTCCTAATAATTAATAGTATTTTATTAATAGGTTTTAAGTGTTGCTCCTCTTCATATTCAGGCACTCAATAAAATGATAGAAGTTTAGAAACAAAGCTAATTTCTCCACTATGCCAGGTGAAAAACTCATGATACTACGTTTCATCAGGTAATATTAATTATTATTTTTATTGGATGAATAATGGATAATTATATTGACAAATTCTTTTATGTGAATCAAAGTAATGTGATTTACTTATTAGTTGTTATAGTAAAAGCTAAACCGGTGAAGTGGCCATGAAAGCTTGACAAGACAATTACTTTAAAGTAAAAGTTTTTCCTTAGTTCATACTATATTTGTATATTATATCATTTTCTTATAATAACTATATATCTTTTATATAATTGCTTAGTATCATTTTTGTTATACACAAGTTTGTTCCATTAATTGCAGAAAGTGAAAGGAAAAATGTGTCAACTGGCTACCCTAGCTATTCAAAGTATGAAGGAGATATTAAATCAAGGGTCATCACTACATAAATGAGTTCTGACTAAAACTTTTCTCTTTTTTTTTTTTTTTACCATTCTCCTAATTTTATTAATCTATTTTTTCATTACAATAAAAATAATAATCAAAAGTCACTACTTAAAATAATTCTCCTCAATATACGTTACTCATTTTTTTTTCAATTACTCATTGTTAACTACCACTTATTGTATTTATGAGTCTCTTTAATTTGTTAGTACTTATCATTTTAATTTAAAAATCTAAATTTAACTTAATAATTTGTCAATTAAT